GAAACTGGAAGAGGCCCCACTAATTCCCCAATCCAATTTTTCGACAACAAGTATTGTCAGTTTAATTATGTAGAAGGAGAATGGTATCAGGTACCACCCCTGATACCTTCTTTTAATCCCAATCAATTTTAATTATAAAATCTAAAAAAATCCCCCACCTCCATCGATAATCCCATAAATGGCGGAATAACAACCACCATTTATTAATCAAACTTATTCATGAATAATCTTCCCCACAATCTTATCGACAATATATAGCAAGTTTATAGAGAGAATTCTAATAATAATATAAAAATTTTTGAAATTATGTTATTCGAATCAGCTGAAAATCACTAAATTTTAAAGCCTCAATTTCAAGAGCGCAAAGGATTTCCTATCCTCTTTTGTTGGGACATTATTATAGCTGGCGAGAGGGTGGTTTCTTTAACGTACCGTATTCCGTACCGTATTACCGATACGGAATACCGATAAATACCGAAAAATACGGCCGTAGTACGGTACGGTCCGAGCTCTAATTACAACAGTACACATTATTTTGTATTTTGGCAGATCCTTTGGCGAAGACCGTCTGGGCCAACATTTTATATTTAATTATGCATTCCGTTGGGCCACAACCTTATACAATTTACATTTTTTTATTAAAATTCCTACCATTTTTCAGATTTAAGCTCTGGCTTGACCTATTATTTCTGTATTTTAGACTATTTCATTAATTAATAAACCCGCTTAATATGAAAATATGTCATTGTTCAAAACATGCTGTGGTTGTAGATTTTGAAAGGAACTAAATAAATTGAATTCAAAACGAATTGAATTATCTTCAACATTGATTATAGACTTGTAAAAATAAATTACAAGTCTATAATCACTACATCTATAAGTAGTATTGGTGAAAATTTTTCAATTTAATATTTTTTTATTAATATTTTTTTATATTTTAATATTTTTTTTAATTTTTAATTAAATTTTTTAAGTAAATATTTTTTAATTTAAAGCTGCACAATTAAGTTTAGTTGAAGAATTTTAACAAAGCGGAGATATAATTGCTTTTATCATTGTCTTCAAATTCCTCTATAATTTTATTTTGCTTTTCTTGGTTGTATTTTTGAATGTGTTCATCTGTTTCCTCGAAATTTTTTCAACTTTACTAAAAACCGTGCCATCCCATCTATTAATATGTTGTATAATTCTTCAATTTTATTAAAAGAAAAGTTGAACATCTTTTGTTTTATTTTCAATTTTATCATTAATTTCTTACTTAAACTTTTTCTATTTTATCTATATTTAGTTTGGAGAAGATATGCTCCACATATAATGTAGGTAAAGCATTTGAATAATATTTTAATATATAGATTGCTTGTACATTTGATAATGAATTATTTTGTGGACGATTTTCGAGAACAATTAGTATCTTCGCTCAATGCAACCTAAAAAATTTAAATATGTAGATATTATATAAAATTTATTTGTAATTATCTCACTTTTTCAAAAAGGACGTCTAAAATTTCGGCAACAAAGATGCCTAACCATAATTTTAATATAAAGAATATGAGATTGTTTACAAATTATCCAAAAGAATAAGATTTTTTATTATTTTTGTTTACACTAAACAAATTTTACTATTAATATTTAGCAATAAATTTAATAATTTCTATTTTTTATATTCGTTGATCGTATTTGATGTAGAAAATCAATTCTGTATTACCGATTAATGGACAAAGCAAGCATGCGCCATAGCCGAATATTTTTTTCTAAACATGTTTATCTTTATATTAAAAATATTTTAATGAAGTAAATAATAGACTTGAACTATAATTTCAATTTACATTTAAATCAAAAGTTATTTTAATTCATTGAGATATTTTTAATTTTTAACTAATGATTTATCAATTTATTTATATAATTGTTATTTTAAAATTTTCTGATGAATATTCTCAATATCCTCAATATTCTCCATTGAGGACATAGCATTTCAAATTGAAAAGGCAGACAATCTTTTTAAGAAGTATTTCTACAAAATTCCATTGCCCCCGCTCTAATGATTCTCCCTTTCCGTATAGTTTTGTCAACTCCATATAGTTTTGTCAACTGCTTTACATGGACTAAATGCAATTATTAAATGTCATTAATTATTGTTGCGTTCATTTAATAATAAATCTAAATCATTATTTATAAGTTGACTCATTTTTCACTTGATATTTCATTCCAGTTGTAAAAAAATTGCATGTTCCATACTTAACAATTTATTTCGATACATATAGCTAGATAATGTAAAATTCTTATTTTATTGTAACAATCTCTATCATTTTTGTATATATATATATATATATATATATATATATATATATATATATATATATATATATATATATATATATATATATATATATATATATATATATATATATATATATATATATATATATATATATATATATATATATATATATTATTTTTGTATATCATTTTTTGTAAATAAATCATTTTTTAAATAAAGTTTGTATATTTATTATAGATTTAGTACATTGTTGATGATAATTATTTACTTTATTTTATATATTTAAATTTTACATTTTATTCCATCTCGTTCTTTATTTAATTACTATTTGTCCATTTAGCACGTTTAACAAAAAATATTCGAAACGGTGAACATTACTGATCCTTTTTTTATAACTTGTGTTGTACCCTATAAATTCAAATAATTATGAACAATATTACATAAATTTGTTCAAACGAATTTGATAAATTTTAGTTTCTTGCTATTATCAGTTAAAAGTATTGTCAAAAGTCTTGTTCATCTTGTGTATGTTTAATGATGTCTGATGATTTTCTTTTATTTCACGACTGAAACGATTGCCCTCTTGGCATTTTTGGCACTTCATATTGATACATTTTAAATTAATTTAATAGTCCAGAGAAATGTTCTTAGCTCAGATGACATTTCAATTTTTTCACAACAAGACAGTTTTTATCGCATTATAGATTTTTGCATTAATTTTTTAATGCCAATAAATATAAACTGTATGAACATATTAAATATATTTTTATATTTTGATGCACTTTAAAATATCTTTTATTTCTCGATTAACATTTAATTCAGATATTTTGTTATTTTTTACAATTTTATATTTTGTAAAAATTTTTCTTGTAAATTCTTTAAATGTTCACTTAAATTGAAGATAAATAAAATTATTCTATAGAATGAAAAGTAAAAACCTCAGAGCCATTTATTAGTGTGCCTGCATCAAACAGATTAAAAATATAATGTCTAACAATAAAGGCACGACATGTTTTTCCAAAAATTTAGGTTTAACCCAAAAAATATTTAATTTAAAAATGTCTAAAATTATGAAAATAAAATCCCGTTTTCTGTTAAAAAATTTATGTTTTAACTGTTTTTGTTGCGTAAAAAATTCAAGACACTAAAGAGCTAAAAATTCAAGACACTTTTTCTTTTCTAATGTAACATTTGAGTCGAAATTTTATAGTTTAGTATTATCTTGTATAGTGTAGTATTATCATATTTTATAATGTATTATTATATAATTTTATAGTGTAGTAAATAAAATCTAAAATTTAATTATTATATTTTTTATTCATGATTTATTATTTATTTTTTCTAGTAAATTAATCAATAATTAACTAAACAGGCATTATATATTGTGCCATGCTTCTATAGAGTTGTTAGTGCGTGATAACCATACACATGGTTTTCGCTTATATTATTAGAATATTATTAAATGTAATCAATAATATTGTGGATTATTCAATAAAATTTTATTTTTTGCTTTTTGGCTTTAATAAATACTAAGAATTCGTCACAGCTTCTTTTGAAGATAGAACATTTCTAAATCAATTTATTTTTATATTTACATTCAACTCATTTGCTATAAATTCTTTATTTTAATTAAAATTGCATTATTTTAATTGTCACAAGTTTTGTTTTAGATTCGATTAATTCTTCTTAATTTATGCTTCAAAATTTTTATACTATTTTATAATATCAATCATAATTTAGTTGAATTTTTTGAGAACATTTATGCTTATAAACATAGATAACTAAAATATATGCTTATATAACTAAATTGTTAATTTCCATTTATTTGTTAAAAATTTTTCATTTATCTATGAAAAGAAATTTTGCTATAATAATAAATTTTCACATGTCTATCTGCAGTTTAATTAACTGATGTGCATAATTAGAATTTAATAATATGTTCACAACCGAAATAGTACATAAATAATGAAGAAATAGAAAATATTAAAATTTTATAAGAATAAAATATTTACTCTTTAGACAATTGGGTGATTGATGTAATTGAGTATTTAACAAAGAATAATGTATAAATTATGCTGAAGTGAAATTTTTTAACATCAAATAGAAAGATATAATAATGTGTCAATTGAAAACTGAATCAATTGAAAATTGAATCCGAAATTGAAATTGAAGGATAAAACATGAAAAATAATAATTTGATCATATAATTTTTATTGAGAATGCAATTTGAAGTATGGAATTTAATTTTTGCTATTGATATTTTAATTTAATTTAATATTATCAACTATTTATATTTGAAAATTTATTTTATAAGGGTTTTATCAACTATTTTATTTTATAAGGAGTTAAAGGACTAAAATTTTCTTCCATATCATTGAATATCATCATTGGTAATATTTTTGATATGATTTTATGAATAGTTTCATCAGTTTTTAGATCCATATAACTTGTTTTTGATATTTTATTTAAAACAAAATAAATTTATTATCAATTTGCCATCGGATGTTGGAATAATATGATGAAGTTATTGATGAAACGTGGTAAGATCCCTACCGGGATCAAAGAGATTAACCAATTTTTGGAAAAGGGTAAGAGTTGGAAGCTTGCTTCCTCTCTGCCGCGCGTCGGCCCGGTTTTGCACTTACCTCCGGGAACGGCGCATTCCTCCCTTATAGGGAGGATCAAAATCATCCTTTTTTCACAAAATAACCATCAATCATCCTTTTTTCACAAAATAACCATCAATCAATAATGCCCAATTTAAATAAACGTATTCGTTCAAATTCAATGGAAAGCTCTTCTTCTGACAATACAATTGTGCCAAACTTAAACTTATCACCAGATCAGCTATCGCAGATAGCTGTGATGGTTGCAGAATTATTAAAGCCATCAATTGAAACAATTATTCAGACAACTGTCAGTGAAATTTTTAAGCAAAATTCCAATAATTTAAACAATATTAACACAATCAACAAAAATAATCAAAATCATAATCAAAATAGCCCACTCTGGGGTCAACCTCCATCATTTATTACAGACAACAATTTATTTTCGAAAATGGCGACATATGCTGCGGAAAATCCTGACACAATCAACAAAAAATCAAAAATAGCCGTGGTTGAAAGGATGCCTTTTATAAGCGAGGAAGATGACAAGCGAATTGTTGACGAAATTGTAAGTAAATGTAATCTTGGTGATAAACTTGACAAAAATACCCCACCTTTTCGGCATAAAACTAAATTTTCTCAAACAAATTCTTCTAGGCCTCAGCTCATAAAAATACCCTTTATAGATAATGTTTCTCGTAACTATTTTATTCAACAATTTCATAGCATTTCTCGTACCATTTCCACAATTCCCAACAATGTATTTGCTCGCCGTGACCTTAGTCCTCCTGAGCTACAATTTTTGTATCAATTACGTAGGCATGCCTACTCACTAAATAATTCGTGTGGTCTTTATAAATATGTTATATCTGATTTGCATATCAGAGAACTTAAAAATCCCCGTCCCCTAAAGAACAAAACTACACAATAGGGACTCGCGAACACCAGAGGTAAAAAAATAATTAAAAATGAACTTAGTGGAATATTGATTAATGCACGCTCAATGACTAATAAAACCAACGAATTGAAACTTATTCTAGATAAACATAAAATAGGCATAGCTTGTATTACCGAGACCTGGCTCAATAAAAATAATACTATCTATAATGATTTCTGCTTTAATAATCAATTTCAACCCTTATTTGCTCATCGCGAAAAACGCAAGGGAGGAGGCTGCGCTATCTTATTAAGTAATGATTTAACATTTAGGTGTATTTTCCAAGGTAGCAAATTTCAATGTGAACTTATCTGTATTAAATTACTCATAGTCCAACCAATTTTAATTGTCTGTATATATAGGCCACCTGATTGCACAGTTAAAAATACAAGGAAAATATTAAAATACATCTACAATCTATTAAGCAATACTAAAAGATATATAATTCTGGGAGATTTTAACAGCCCTAATGTTGATTGGAATAAGTTAACTGCTTCTGATAAGATTGGAAAGGTCTTACTTGAATTTATTAACCAAACTAATACAATACAGAAAGTTAATAAGCCTACAAGAGAGAAAGCTATACTTGATTTAGTTTTATCATTCCCTGATAACTTAGTTAGCACCAACGTTATTGAGAATTTTTCTACATCAGATCATAATATGGTTAAGTTCAAAGTATGTATAAATGAAAGATGCAAGAGAATAAAACAAAGCAAAGTTTTAATAAGAAATATTAATAAGAAAAATCTAAACGAATGTAGTAAAAACCTGTCTAGTATAAATTGGGATTATATATTACCCTATTACTTTAGTATTGAAGAAAAATATTCTAAATTAACATCCTGCCTACTAGGAGTTTTTGATAAAGTTATGCCACTAAGACCTATTAACAAAATAATCAAAGAAAAGTATTCTAGAGATATAAAAGACCTTTATAATAGAAAACTTTTAACTTACAATGAATTAAAGAAAACCCCATCGAATATGGATATTAAATTGAAATATAAAATAATTTCAAAACAATTAAAAACAAAAATTCAATCACATCATCTTAAGAAAGAGCAAAATGCCATATCGAAAGGCTATAATTCAATTCATAAGTTTATCAAGAATAAAATAGGTGAAAATGGTTATATAACATTTCTTACAGATTCTAATGATAAAACATACAAAGATAACTTAGAAAAGTCCAATATACTAGCTAAGACATTCCTAACTAATTTCAGCCAAAAGGATTTGCAAGATGAACTTATAACTGAAAACAATGAACTCTCAATACATGATCTAGACTTAGATGTAATTCAGATTAAAGACCTATTAAGGAAACTTCCTAACAAAAATTCTACATCTCCGGATGGAATTCCTTATATATTACTAAAACACTCAGCTGAGGAATTAGCCCCTGTACTAACCGAAATATTCAGAATAATATTAGATAGTGGAAATATTCCGAAAATATGGAGAACATCTATAATTATACCTATCCACAAAAAAGGTGACAAATCAGATCCTAATAACTATAGACCTATATCTCTAACATGCACACTTTGTAGAGTACTAGAGAGACTTATTAGTATTGAAATAATAAAATTTTTGAATACAAAATCTTATTTCTCTGATGACCAATATGCATTTCTAACTAACAGATCAACTTCTACTCAATTATTAGTAATGTTAAATGATTTCTACAATGCTATTCAGGAAAATAAATCTATTGATGTTGTCTATATTGACTTTGCTAGAGCATTTGATTCAGTACCTATTAACAGAATACTTTATAAATTGAAATCAATTGGTATAGCTGGGAAGATATATACGTTTATTAAGAATTTCCTAGAAAACAGGACGTTTAGAGTTAAAATTGAGAATACTCTCTCTGATAGCTATCCAACCTTATCTGGTGTACCACAAGGTAGTGTCCTTGGACCCCTACTCTTTTTAATATTTATTAATGATTTACCAAAATATTTACCTGAAGGTATACATATAAAAATTTATGCCGATGACGTTAAACTATATATTGAACATAACAATGATTTAAGAACCGAAGTTCTATCCGAAGCTCTATCATGTATTGAACACTGGTCTTTTCTTAATGGTTTAGATATTTCACTAGAAAAATGTGTTGTTCTCTACATAGGAAAAAATAATAATAAAAGAAAATATAAGTTACTAGGAAAACAAATGAGTGAAGTAGATAGTGTTCGGGATCTTGGTATTATAATTGATTCTAGTTTATCATTTTCCCAGCATTATGAGAAAATTATTAAAAATGCTTATTTCCTTACGCACCAGATATTTAGAGTAATTAAAACTAAAGATATAAATAAACTTGTATTTTGCTACAAAACGTATGTAAGGCCCTGTCTAGAATATGCAACCGAAGTATGGAATCCATCTAAAACGGAAACCTCCCACCAAATAGAGAGAGTCCAGAAATTCTTTACACGAATTGCCCTTAAAATTTGCTCCATTACACCTAGGAACTATGAAGAAAGATTAAAATTATGTAAGCTTAAGAAGCTAACTGAGCGACGCTGTATTTCAGACTTATGTATGACATATAAATTTATAACCGGACATACCCATCTAAAACCAGATAAATTATTTATATTTGCGAAAAGAAATTTACGCAGGAAATATCTAATTCAAAATAAGGGGTACTCATTTAAGACAAAAAATAATTTCTTCATTAGAGTCATTAACATTTGGAACAAATTACCTAAAGAAGTCATTGAGTGTGCAAATCCCAAAAAATTTAGAGTATTAGCTAATTGTGTAGATTTTGGTCTTTAAGGGTTTTTAACATTATTTTTCATTCAATACAATCACATATATTTTTAATCGCATATATATTTTTTAATCACATTTATTTTTTTCAAATATAATTTATCTTTTTAATTTTTATAATTTTACCAACGCATTTATTTGTATTGTTTTTTTTATCCATTGTAAGTGTACATGTTTGTATGTACCTTTTGGTGTTCGTTATAAATAAATAAATAAAGTAATCGTACAGTTTATTTTTAAAATCAAATTATGAAAAATTATTTTTTGCCACTTTGTTAAAATTAATAATCCGAACTTATTTGAAAATTTTGAACTTAAAATGGAATTTTTTGTTCGATATAATGAGTAAATAATTTTAAGAGTAATTTAGAGGTATTTAGAAAAAGATGACCCGTTATATTAATTTAAAGAGTCCAAATTTAGAATGTAATTTATTGGAACAAAATTTAGATGGTCAAAATGAAGATGCCAATGAAAACAATTAATTAGAACAACATCACTTATAGAAATAATTGAAAATTTAAATGATTAAGTAAATAATACTAAATCCTCTATACTAGATTTAAAAAGAATATTGAATTTATAAAGCAGATTAGAAAATTTAAACCCCTCTATGTTCTTCTGATACTTTGATTTTAAATTCTAATAATTCAAATGATTTTTTTAATAATATTATTGAAATTCCAAAAAGTATTACAGAAAACTGTCAAATCTTTTGTAATTATTAATAGTGAAAAATTGATAATATTAATAATTCTCTTCCTTTATTCAAAATTTTTAAGTTTTTCAATTCCTGTCGTGATGGGTGCTCAGCCAAATAAAACTGAAATTGTTTGTTTAAAATAAAAATTTAAAAAATTTTGATTATGTTATACAATTTTAAATACAATCTTTTGACGTAAATCAGCTAATTTACTTAATTTCTCTCAATTGGATTATGATTGCAAGCAAAATTTAAGCTAAAAATGAAAGAAACCGAACAATATTGGCTAAAAATTTTTTGAAATTTTTAAAAACTTGTCAATAATAATCTCTATTTTTTATTACTGTTCTAGAAAAAAATGGTCGGCCATTAAAAATATGTATAATGTTATGGGATAGACGATGAAACAAAAATATAGCTTTTTTAGTATAAATATATAATGTTTAAGTTAGAAGAGAAAAGGAAGAACATCTCTTTAATCAATTATTCAATTACATAAGCCATTATATAAAATAGAAAATAAAAGGAAAATATCTCCTGCATTTTTGTTGTTATTTCGACTGTGATTAGTTTCGACAGCGATTAAATTCGACAGAAAACCCCGCTTTGTCACATTTAGTACAATCAAAAGGATAACTGAAAGAAAATACCTCTCTTTAAAACAAAAATCACCCGAACCACCGATTTTTTAAAAATTTTACAGCACGTGCACTAACAACTTCCACTTCTTAATAATTGTTACAGGAGACCATTCCTCTACCATATAATTGATGCGTAAGATATCACCCTTTTCAGGATTAGGCTTGAACCCCTCCCCTCTCACTTAGAACATTTCTTTGAGATTTGGTTTTCAGGAAGCGGACCACTCCCGCACTAAACCTGTCAATAGGTTTACATTGTCATTTTTGAGGTTAAGCTATTAATCAAAATGATGGCGGCATCCATTGTCTCGAAGCCTGGGTGTTAACTAAAGTTAAAAAAGTTACCATTATCTAAAGGCAGACCAAAGTGAACGTAAAAAAATATATCAAAATACATATATAATAATTTTAAAAAATTAAAAAAATCAAACCTGCTGAAATAATATAAAACTAATTAATTTTACATTCGGATGTAGTTTGAAATCGATGAATTTTATCCGTTAAGATCAAAAACATTGTATGTTTTATCTTGTTAAGCTTAAAGGAGGTAATAATATAAGATTAACTGGTAAGTTCTAGAAAAGGTAATGAAACAAAAAAATCCAGAAATGAAAAAATGACAAAAATTTCTTATTATAAAAATTCATATTAAACATAAGATAAAAGCAGATTAAATTAATTAAATTGATCTTCAAAAGTGAAATTTGTTTGTTTTGAAAAATAAATAAAGATTAATAAATTATTAATTTTATAAAGAAAATC